GGGAGTCAGTGGAAAGCGATGAATTGGAGGGTCCTGTCATTCAGCCCGTCTTGCTAGCAGATGCAGGTGTTGTGCCGGGCGACTTGCTTGAACCCCCGCCGGCAGACCCTCTGTCTGATCTTGAAGCAGATGTGTTAGGCCATGATCCAGCAGCTGTGTTCGAGGAAGTCCCACCAAGTCCGTGCGTGGATTTCACAGAGATGCTAAGCTTTCCAGGCCTTCATCATGTTCTGGATAATGCAATCAACGGGATGCCAGGTGCGATGCCGAATTACAAAGAGTTTATTCACCTTGCTTCGAGGCTGTGCAAATTCTTGCATGGCAAAGAGACAAGGGATATATTGCTCGAACGTTGTTTTGGTGATCCTGTGGGCATGCAGTTTCGGGAGGACTTCAAGGACTTCAAGGGTCACATTTTTCCTGGGCGATGGGGCACGGTTGCTTTCAGTGTTCCTTTGCTGCGTGCTCTGGAAAGGCCATTGCGGTGGGGCTGGAATAAAGCTGTGTACCTGCGAGATGCGAATGCTCGCGATGCCAGTATAACTGCCATAGTCAATGATGCGGACCAAGCAATCTCTAATCCTGTCTTTTGGGCATGGCTTTCCGTGTTGGATGCTTTGGTGGTTGTCGTCAGGAAAATGACAGCGTGGCTTGAAGGCTGCGCTTGTCATTGGCCGCTCTTGCAGCAAACGTCGGATGAAGTGCCCAAACACGTGTTATCTAGGTGGAAGAAGTGTCCGATGCGGGGACTGAGAGCCCCCGAAGCGTGCAGTGGAGAGTTTCTGTTCATTGCAGCTGCGGTTTGCGATAATACCATAGCGGATTTGTTGCAAAACCTGCCCAACGACATAACCCGTGAAGAGCGTGCCGAGCTCGTAGACGAGTTTGATGCCGGGCGATCACACTTGTGCTTTTACCTTTCGTTGAAGGTCACAGCACTTGAAGAGTTCCCTTGGAAAGTGTGTGCGTTAGCACACACCGATGAGGAAATTGCTAAGGATGCACTCAGGGAATGCTTGGCCTTTCAAGGGCATCTGGATTCGAGACTCACCCGACTCCAGGGTCCGTTGCGACCTGCTTGCGACCGATGGCTGGCGGGGGACAGCTTGTCGGGTCCTGGAATGCTTGATCTCGCGAACTTGATTGCTGAGCTGCGTTTCATCCCGGTGAATGAGAGGCCAGCTGAAGGCCTCCATCGTCAGACGAAGTTGTATGGTCGGAATCGACCCAACCATTCTGTGCCCTTCATGTCATTGAAGCAGCGAATGCCAGAGTTGAAACAATTGCTTCATGAGAAGCCTGTGGCTTTACATGATCTGGCTGCATTGTGCGATGTAGTTCACAATAACTGGCTTTGCGTGTCTACACTTGGGCTGAAGAGCCACCCAGCTTTGGCCAATGTCCGACAGCAGCGGAACTCTTTTCGCGACACAATCATGGCTCAGGTTGTTTATCATGCTGATGCAATGACCTTATACACACTCGCAGTTCCTGATGTCCCCATGATGCCCGATGACCCAGGTGACCCAGGGGGCCCAGGATTAGCAGGCAATCAGGACGGCGATGATGCCGAAGATGACGGTGGCGGTTGCGGGCCCATGAACGGGCCTGGTTCAGAAGATGATGATGACGAGGCAGCATCCGACCCAGAGTCTGCAGCGTCTCAGAGTGCAATGGATGTCCATGATGGTGTTGGCCGCATTGCTGCCTTCGATCCGAAGACAGCCTCGCTCAAAGCTCTAGTGAGCTCCCATGCCGGTGAATCAGAGGCTCTGCTGCACAAGTTGATGCTACAACGGTTGAGCGAGGCGCTACCTGAACACGGTGGGCAGTTCCTATCCATGCCATTCCTTGAAAAGGCCATGCGTAATCTGGCAGCCGTTCTGAAGCTGGATAACAAGCTGACCTTCGAGCCGGGGGATGATATCAATCTGGAGCCAAAACCCCGTCCGAAGAGGCTTCATGATTCCGAGCTTGTCCTCGATGCGACCTTGACCCGCCGACGTGACTTTACTGCCGATGTACGGTCCCTGCTTTTCTTCAAAGTGATTCGAAACAATCCGATGCAGCTGAAGCGTAGCAAGGTCCCCGGCGAAATTGGTTTTGCTTCCGGAGACATCGTGGTCGCTCCGCACAAGCTCTACGATGTTGAAGCTGGCAAGAAACAGGTGACTGTGCAAGCATTGGCGTTGCAAAAGCCTGCTTCTGAGGCCAGGAGCAGCATGTCAACTAGCAGCTTCGTGCTCAACTTTCGGTCTTTGGAATGTCAGCAACTCGCAGAGCTGCGGACGTGGGAGAAGCGGACCGGACTGAAGTACGTCATCAAGCCTCTGGCTTCGCCAGACTTAAGCGGGTGGTCGAAGCAAAAGCATGAGGCGTTGGGCATCCTGCTGGAAGAGCTTATGGAGAATGCAAACGGGGTTCGTGGCACGTCCTGGCGTCTTGCATCTGAGCGAAAAGAGATCTTAAAGGTCTTTGCGGATCTCGATTGGGTAGTTCAGGCAGCAGTGCCTTGTCGTGACGATTTTACATTTTGTAGATAGGGAAACCAAGCCTGTCAAAACGGAACAGCAGCCAGAGCCGCGATCGTAGCCACAATCAGAACATCAGCAAGCCCAAAGAACCCCCAACAATTGCTCCTGCTGGCAAATACCCTTCCCCGGCCCAGGATGGCTTGTGGACCTTGACTTCGCTGGGCAAGGAGAGTGTCGACGTTTGCTGTGTCCTGCATGAGCCACGTCCAATCCTGGACTTGCGGGAAGGTAAGATGTAGCCAGACCAAAATTTTAAACACCCAACCCGGATACTGATAGGCTAACGGTAGAGCTGGAATTGAATGCCTCGCAGCCCCTGGCCGGAGGTGTGGAGCATGCTGAGCTTTCGTCGTGGGAGCTCATTCTTGCTTTGGACAGAGCAGGGTTTGAGCACTGTGTGAAGGCCAAGAGCTCACAGGATCGCGATTACGACCCGGCCGATGCAAGCACCAAGGTATGGTACAGCAAGCCAGATGCCAACATGGTTGTGCGTCAGTACTTGCTTTGTTTGTTGAAAGGAGATTTGCGAGTACCCCACTGGAAGCCCGCTGCCCTATACACTGCCTTGTTGAATGGAGAGGAATATCAGCCCAAGACGAAGTCCTTGAAGATGCAAGATTTCCATGAAGATGATATGGATGCAGGCTCTGCTGTCCGCCCAGTGAAACTGGCTCGTCGTGCCGCCGCTTCGAAAAAGAAACCTTCGCAGCGTGGAGCATCTCCTGATGTTTCGCAACAGCATCGGGAAGAGGCCCTGGCCCTGGAGCCCCAAAGTCGCAGTCCTGAACCGCCTGAACCAGCAGCTGTAGTCGACAGCAGCGTGCACATGGAGCAACCTGCAGAGGCTTGTGAGGAGTCCTCTGATTCTACTTCAACTTCCAGTTCGAGTTCGAGATCCACGTCTGGGTCATCCGATGGCTCAAGTTCCTCTTCTTCCTCGTCTGCCGAGGAGGAGGAGGGGGCGGCTGCCCCCCGTGCCAGCAATCCAAATGTTGGCTTCAGTTTCGGTCTGAACCATGTGACACAGGTTTTCAAGGATGGAATTGCAATTGGCTACGAGATGACCTGTCATCACCCCATGCACAAGCATGGGAGCCAGAAATGTCGCAAGAAGTTGAACGCTGTGACTCGAGATCGGTCTGAGTCGGAGACCTTGCGTATGCTGAAAGCTTGGGGTGCTTGGGGAGCGGAAGTGCCATCCCGAGCAGAGCACCAGAAAGTCTGGGAGAAGGTTGTTGAAGCCTGGAAAGATGGTACATTACCGGAAGAGATTCCTGAGTTTGCGAAATTCAAAACGAATTTCAAGAAAAGGGCTTCGAGGCCAAAGGCCAAAGCAGAAGCCAAGCCGAAGTCGGAGTCGGGCCCGGGGCGGCCAACCAAGCGTGTTCGCAGCTCCTGAAAAACATCAATCAAGTGTAGGCTCGGAACCGTTCACCGATAGTCCTCCTTCAGGGCTGCAGGGTGTTGCAGGGTTTCTTCAGTTTATGGGGTGGTGGGGCGAGGTCAAGAGTAGCAGAAGCTTGTGTGCTTGTGTCGTGTAGAACAATTGTTGCTTCCGAGTACTTGGCGATCACCAGCATGCAGGCCCAAATCGGAACCACCCTGTGTCGTGTAGAACAATTGTCGCTTCCGAGCACTTGACGAACGAGGGGGGTCCCGAATCGGAGCCATGCAAACCAGGTCCCAAATCGGAGCCATGCAATCCCCTCTTGAACGCAGCTCTATTTGTTGTGTTACCGGGGTTGTGTATTGGAATATACTTCCAACTTATATTGCGAAATCTGCTTTTAGGGAATAAACCTTAAAATGAAGCAGGCCACTTCCCGCGAAAATGACACCAAATCGTGCAAAAATCTCTGGCTACCCAACCCTGTGTAAAAATTAGATTTTACAAGGACTTGGGTCTGCAAGGTGCCCAAATACGAGAAAAAACCACAAAAAAAAACATACAGGCCCTCAAAACCGACCTTGGCGAACCCGTATAGGCACAACCAGTAGAGTAGAGGGCACGGTCAGGCCAGGGCACAACTTGGTTATGGTTTTCATCCTTTCCACCCCGTAACCATCAAACCAAACTGCTAAGGAGGCCTTTTGAGTCGGCGGCGTCAGCAACCAATCAAGACAATCAAAGAGGTTTGAGAAAGGGGCAAAAACACACACTCACAAACATGATGCGCCCCCCCCCTTGCACTTTGCAAGGCACACACCCACCCAGCAATGCACCGACTCAGAAAACATCTCCCTTCGGGAGAGTTTGTTCGAAAACTGGATGTGTAACTTTCGTGTTTGTTACACACAGCACATGACATAAGGCCCTATTCCATCATGATGGAGGGTTGTCTTGATACTTTTGAGCCCGATGTGCGATTCTGGCTGCGGTTGTTGCAAGTGTGGGTTTTCCTGAAAAAACCATAGATTGCAACAGCGGGTGTCATCCTTGTTCTGTCATGAAAAGTGCTGGCGCAGGACGATGACGAGATGAGCGAGGCGGAGGAGGGGGCCAACCGTTCTCAGAACAAGCGTCGATGCAGCTTCGGGTCCGATGTGGAGAAGCCCAGTAACTCCACCCCGAATGAGAAGAAGCCGAAGAAAGCGTGGTTCGACCGCGATGCCTCCATCACTTCGGCCCTCAAACAGCACCAAACATGGGTCAAGGCTACTCGTGCATCGATAACCTCCACAATCCAGCAGCTACAGGACAGCTTGGGTAAGGTCACTGCCGACGTCGAAGACGAGGTGAGAAATGAGGCGAAGTTGGCCAAAAACAGGCTGCACGCCCTCAAGTTAATCTTGGGGAAGCCGGAGGATGGGGAGCAGCCCGGTGGCCAGTTTTCCGATGTTGTGGTCAGTGCAGATGGCGACTCCAAGCCCGACAAGGAGAGCCAGAAAGAAGCCGGGACCACTGACCAGGCGAGCCAGAAAGAGGCCGCTGACCAGGCCCAGCCCAATGCAGATCAAGCCAAGGAGGCGGAGAAGACCAGCGACGCCAAGGAGGAAGCCACCAAGGAGACCAGCGAGGAAGCCAAGCCTGACCCCGACGTGAAGGCTCCCAGCACTGTCGCCAAGTTCGTTGCAGATAATGGTGGTGCGCAGAAGGCTTTGCGGAAGTACATTGCTTCCTTCTCCACGGACGGCAAGAAGACTTTGGGTGGAGCACCGCCTTGCCGCAGCTACCAAGCCTTGATCGTGATTTCGGAGTTTGACGACAAAGCCACTGAGATCGAGGAGGCAGAGACGAAGGAAGCCCTTGTCGCCATCCAGAATGGGATGAAAATCTTCAAGAATGCCTACGCTGACCTTTTGGCCATGGCGCGGGCAGCAAAGAACAGGCTCGAGTCGTCCATCACCGACGTCAAGAGGCAGCAGCAGAGGGCTAAGGACATCGAGAATGGCCAGAAGGCGGCAGCAACCCGCGGACGCCCCAGGAAGTCCGCTCAGCAGCAGAATGCTGCTTTGTTTGTGGATAGCCCGGAAGTTGTCGGCAAGGACATCCCAAGCGTGCAAGCAGATGGCTATGTACCGCCAGCGATGGACCATGCGAAGCCGCACATTGTCCGCTTGAGCCAGGAAGTGATGAACAAGTTGGCTCCGTTGAAGCACACGTTGGCCAGCCTGGAGACCAAGTTCAAGGGTGATACGAACAAGCTCGAGGCTGGTAGAAGCCAGCGTCTTTTGCCGCCAGACCAGCGTGAGCTGGTCGACGAGGTGTTGGAGACCTTGTTCCCCCCCAATCACATCCTCCCGAAAGACAAGATCGTCGAGAAGCTGAAGGCAGAGGTGCTGATGCCCATTGGTTTCGTAATCGCGACAGCCTGTGTCACTGCGTCTGCAGAGAGTGCTCACCTCCCTACCTGCAGACTGGGGATTTCCGGCAACCGTCAAGTCGTTTGTATCCCGACCCTGCACTTGCTTGCGTTGCTGAACAAGGGCTGTGAGACCAAGGCCGATCTTGCAAGGGCATATCACTTCTTGAAAACCGCTTCCCTGAAGACTTTCCAAGAAGGGCAGCAGGGCGATGACAGCTGTGTCTACCATGCGACGGTGGGCCCAGGCGACCTTCTCTACCTCCCGGCCGGTTGGTGCTTCTTTGAACGAGTTGCCGGCAAGAGCAACTACTTGGGGGTGAAGATCCAGCACTTGAGCTTGCAATCCTTGCCCGTTCTCCGCAACATCAACTCCTACTTGTTGGCGATCTCGAAGCCGAATTCCAACCTTCAGAGTGCCGTGGATTGTCTCACAAGGGCGGAGACCTAGCCGTGATAAGTGCTTCAGAAACTTTTTCGAGCAGCGGTTCAGTGCCAGCTGCGCCACATGTCGAGTCAAGGTTGCATGCAATGCCACAGCATCCTTTCTTCTACAAGAAGGGCGTCTAATCTCGGGAGCATTGCGATGACGAGCGAAAACATAAGAGTGAAGTGGCCGCTGCCACCACTGCGACCGCTGCGGTTCTAGCAAATGGGATGATGCGACGATGCAGAAGGTGACGAGGGTTCTGCTGCTACTGCTGCTGCCGCTGCTACTGATGCTGATGCTGCTGGTGAAGGTGATGTTTATGATAGCGGGGTGTGGTGCTGACTGTGATAGAAGGGGTGCTCGTTGCGGTGCCGTGGTGATGTTGGGTGGTGATGATGAACGTGCGGTGGGGATGATGGCTGGTGGTGCCGCGGATACCACGTGGCTGAGGGACGTAATGTGGCGCGCGGCTAAGCCCAGAACCGCTGCCGAGGCTTGGGTTTAGGGAGTAGGCCGGCTAGTGGGTGTCCCCGGTTTAGGTAGGGCCGGCCTAGGTTTTTTTTTTTT